TATGTCGGTGTAAAGACTCATCCCTAACTTTAATGCCATTGAGTTGATAAAAGTTAAGCTAGTTTTAGCTTTTGATGAAAGCAAGCTAGCTAGCCAACACGCTAGCCAACACGCTAGCCTTATTTCCGCATAGTTTTTCTTTTGTTGATGATGGCAAAACGTAATAGTCAGGCTTAAAAACATGTCCCTCATATGTAAACCGTGCGAGTTACATCTCAAAAAGCATAACACATTACATATTCAGCAAAACATGCAGCAGACGTTAGCTGGGTGTATCACAATGACACTCGAAGGGTTGCAAATTGCTTAAAAAACTGTCAAGCTTAGATTGTTAACACCATACATATACTTTTGTTTCCGGTATTGTTCATGACGGATGTATTTTGTTATAGCCTACACCAGAGATGTTCACAAGTCTTTTTTTGCAAGTCCAAGTCAAGTCTCAAGTCTTTGTGGGGTGAGACTTGATCAAGTCTCAAGTCTTTGGTCACGAGTCCAAGTCAAGTCTCAAGTCTTTGTGGGGTGAGACTTGATCAAGTCTCAAGTCTTTGGTCACGAGTCCAAGTCAAGTCTCAAGTCTCTAAAAAATAAAAGTCTCATGTCTCTTCTGGTTGTAATAAGCCTTCTATTGTCTGCTGCTATCCAGTCTGTTAAGAATACTGCACAGCTATATCGAAGACATTCAAAGCATTGACTGTATTATTATCACTCCTATATCTATTAGCATACAGTATCAGTACTGATTAGTTGTTATATGATCACTTTAAACAGGCTATTGCAATGCAATATGAGGACAAACATCACACTTTAGCTAAATGCAAACAACTTATAAGCAAAACACTTCCGAATCAGAAATCAGTATCACAAATACTTTATTAATCCCCCGCAGGGAAACTGTGTTAAAAGTACTTCAAAGTAAACATTTGTTCTGTGCCATTTGCAACTAAAAAACTATTGCTGCAATATTATCTGAAATATACTGAACTGGTGATATTAAAACATGACCTGTTCCAAAAGAGATATCTACCATTAACACCATTTACCAGCCAGATGCTGGTAAATCATGCAAGTGGCTGGTACTGTATGTTGCACGCACCAGCCACAAATAACAATGGCAATCTATTGAGTGGCTGGTAACATTTCAACATTCACTAGGCTAGCCATTTGGCCAGTGGACAAAAATGTTAAAATTTGACCTCTGCAACCGTATTGTTTAATTACACTGGGTCTCTAATGACATCTTTTAAGTCTACTATAAATAAACATATTCCTCTCTCCTCTCACTCAAACCCAGTGTAATGGTAACCTGATAAACCTGTAACATTAACGTTACGTGGTCAACAATAAACCTGTAACCTGCCTATAAACCGACAGATGTATTTATGTATGTAACTATGTATTTTTCTACGTTTAACGTTAGCCAGTAGATGGTAGCAGCGGAACGTAATGATTAACGTTACCGACCTTTTTTATGTCATGTCAAGAGTTGGATGTCAACGCCACTCAACGCAAACAAGTGTGACAAGCAAACATTCACTCATCTTTTCAAATATTCAGTTACAAAGCTAGTAGCAAGCTAAGTTAACATTACATAGCTGATGCTGAGCTAAACATGTTTGCTAACCGTCCATAGGCGTTAATGTGACTGACCTCTCCGGGTGAGTTTTCAAGTGCCTGATGACATTTGACGTTGTTGCACCAGCATCCTTGATTTTAATATTGCAGACTTTGCAGTGTGCGCTCCTTTTGTTGGTGCCGCTGGCGTTTTGTTCGAAGTTTTTATAGTTGAACCTAATTACAAGCGGTACAGCTGCAGGTGTGCCGCCGGTCGCCATGGTGTTACCATGATGTTAATGTTAATGTTAAAGGTGGGGTAGGTAAGTTTGAGAAACCGGCTCGAGATACACTTTTTGTTATATTCCATGGAATGCTCTTAACATCCCGATCGCCGGCCCGGCTAAAGTAACTGGATGGCCTACCTGCCTGTCAGCCTTCCATCGGGGCACAAACTTATCTCGTGCCCTCATTGGTCATGTGCGCGTTCGTGTGTGTTGGAGGAGGGGCTCTGTGAGGAAGTGGCACATTTTCTCCGGTTGTGTATTTTCAAATTCTAGCGATCTCGAGACGGTTTCTCAAACTTACCTACCCCACCTTTAATACGCCAAAAATAGAAAACACAATGATTGTTCACGAGTCCCAAAACACGAGTCCAAGTCGAGTCCGAAGTCTTTTGAGCAGGAGTCCAAGTCAAGTCTGAAGTCTCTGTGTGTGCGACTTAAGTGCGACTCGAGTCCGAGTCACAGACTCGAGTCCCCATCTCTGGCCTACACACATTCCTTTACATTTTAATCATTCAAGTATTTGGTAGGCCGTCCAAAAAAAAGGAGGGTTCAAGTTGCAGAGTTTGTAAATGAACATGAACCAATAAAACGTGTTAACCCACTCAGCTTCCGGTCTCCCAATAGGCCTACCTGACTCTCGCCCTGATAAAAAGAAGACATGGTGCAGGCACGAAAGATACTACCAATAAAATACATTGTTTTTAGAATCGTTCTGTGTGAAACGGAAAAACTGGGAAAATCATGTTGGAGAACACAAATCAATAGATTACATTGCGTAGACTGGGTTTTCATTGTACAACCTAGGTCTACAATCTCTGAATTAAAAATACAAATATTGATCCTGGATCACATAGAAACATATCCAAAGGTAGTCTGTCCTGAAAGTGATGAAAGGAACATGACCTTTTTTAAATAATACCAATGTGGATATATGAAATGTTTTCTGAAAGTTGTAGAAACAGTAGACTCTTTTCAGATGTTAAACACTTCCTCATTGGTTAAACTTTTCCAGACCAATCGTGTCCCTTGGTTAAAAAAATGAACCTTGAGTAACAATGAATACTATTATATCCACCACCGTTACAGCGGAACATCAGTGATTATGTGTTACAATGGCGTTTGTTAGCAACCAGGAAATGACACCAGTAAGGACAAACAGATGAGAATGCTGCGTGGGGTCTGGGTGCCGTGTTGGCGGGACATTGCGCGGCTCGCTGCTGCGAGGAGCGGACAGTGTGAGCTGGGTTCATTTCCTTCTCGCTGCGTGGGATCTACGAGACAGCAAATGGACGCGGGAAGGGGGGGTGCTGAGTGGGCTGCAGCACCCCCATCTGCGAGGCTCCACTAGCACCCGCACCACCAAACGTGGCGCACCTACAGTAACCCCTAGATTCCACCGGGTCCGTCTGCACCGTGCTACGGCCGCGTTCACAGCGATCGTGGCCACTCTAGTCAATGGGTGCTATTCCACCAGACGCGCCGCGTTACGGCTAGAAGCGTCCCAGAAGCGTCCCAGAAGCGACTCGGCGCTGGGCTCCGCTAAAAATAGGACGTAAGTCTATTTTCGACGCCACGCGTTGCATGGCGCCGGGCAGGAAGTGGAAGAGTCAGAGAATCCAGTCAATCCCCAAAATAAACTAATTTTGCAGACCCTATCCCTCAGTAGTCTTTCAAGTGGGAGGAGAAATGTCAGCGTTCTCCTCCGGTTACAGGCACTGTATAAATTATATATATAGAATAATTATGATGAATGCATTTTTTTACCACTAAAATACAGCATCTCATCTTTGATTCATGTCGTTTATAACTGGAATATTACAATTATTATTAACTAGCCTGTCCAGGAAATATGCCCAAATCAACAAAAACTGCGCGCCGGCACGCAAGACGCTGCGCTTCTGAAACGCGCCCAGTGGGTTATGACGCTGGAGGAGGTCGGACTAAAACCGCGGCGCAGTCTTGACGCGGCGCAGACGGACCCGGCGGACCAATGGGTCCATTTGGGTATGGTCACGTCACTATACCCAGGAAGAAAAAGATAAATCTCCAACGAAGCGTTCTGGGGCAGCATGGACAGGTCTTTTCTGTGTTAGAGTTTTACTCACTACAGGGTGTACTTTGAGGGTTTGTGACTTTGCAGACCGTTTACATGCATACAAACCTTCATAACACACAATGGGACGGGTAATAACCGGAAAAGCATGACATGGGACCTTTAAATTAAAGCAGTGTTCCATTGTTTGACCTAAACTTACCTTAACATTGTTATATATGCTTTTGAAATGTAACATGGCTTTGACTTACAACTGAGCATTTAGCCAAATGAAAAACTCCCCAGAAGGAACCAACACAAACACAGCCGAAAGGTCTCTGGAGTTTGCTGCAGGAGTTGCACTATACGCCTGACAACTGGGCTATCACAAGATACAGTATGTTATAACAAATTAAAAGACTAATAGTTTAGATTTTTAAACAAATAATTTGTTTGCAAGTTATACGTTTTACTTTTGAGAAGTTTTTTTATCTTTCTCAAATGCTTATTTTTGCTTGATACTGAATACTTTTTGCTAGATCTTAATGGCACAAACCTGATTCAATAGTCTTCCTCCAAATTTAGAGCATGGGGATTGGTTGACGGACGCCTCCTAAAAATGTCTTTGAGGGTTCAGATTGTGGGTTTGAGCTTCCTAATGTACTATGCAAATTTAAAAAGTATTTAAGAAAGAAACATACAAAATGTTATAGCCATACAAAATATAACTTGAATAGTTACTTTGTCCGGAAGCTGCATAAAAATGTCCAAGGAAAAATATATAGGATTTTAATTTCCATAGTTTCAGATGTTACTTCCCACAACTCCCTGTCAAGAGAAATATTGCAATGATTGCAAGTTGTTTGTGATTCAGTCCTCACTCCGCATTGGAGGGAGAGACTAAGTTTTGACAGCTGCTATTTCCATATAACCTGAAAAAACAGGTAACACACGTTGACAGAATATATGACACTACAAACTAAATTAAATTAAAACACATCATACAATTGAATAAATCCACAATTATGTATTTTTGATAGCAGTACAGATAATGGTTTACTGATATAAAACATTGTACCAAAACACTGCCGTGGTATATAAACAAATACTCTTGTATGAAATATATATTTGTTATGAGTGATATTAGTTTTTAATAACTTTTCCTATTGCATGAAAATGTTACTATGATTTAAACACATTGCAAGACATTTGCCAACTCATATAATAATAGACATTATTTTCTCCATAACAAATATAAATACAGAAGAACCTGTAGGGGGTAATTTATACTTGTATTAATTTGAATGCATAAAATCAAAACATATTTACTAAAAACATATAAAACCTTTTTCTACCCTTTTCATAAGAACATCTTGATTCAATGCTGTGCAGCAGTTATAATGTAAAGTAAGACATAGAGGAAATATAAACTACCAACAAAGGTGCAAGTGTAAAATATAGACAATGCAAAAATATTAACAAAGGTGGTTAAAGATAAGGATCACAAGTTGCTCTTAACTCAGGTTACTTCATGATCATAAAAATAGCTATGTGACACTTCTCATACTGTATATCTATGATTAACTCATTAAACATAGATATATATGAAAAGTGTCATATAGCTATGTTTGTACAATATTACATTTCTACAGGTACATGTATATTAAACAATTTCAATATGTATTGCACCTATTGTGCAATGTGTTGCCCTTTAGGCTCCATTACGTTACATCACATGTTGGAGAGCGTGAGAGTCGTTGTCCATGATACTTGCTGTGCATCACAGCGTCCTCCTCACTGACACCACCACATAAAGGCAAGTGCCACCCGTTGGAGTAAAGCAGTCCATTCATATTCTGGTTTTCCAATTAAATGGAAAGACAAATTCCATAAGCTAAATATATATATATATATAATTACGTTTTATTGACGGTGCAAAGCAAAACAAATTCCCATTCAATACACATAATATTTTGTTACATTTTGGAAGTACTGTTTAACAGGCCATTCATTTGGTGTACAATAGTCAAACATTGTAACAGGGCTCTAACTGGGGTTAGATTTAGTGTGAAACGTTGCACGGTTAAAAGGAGGAGTCATAATATTTATATACTAGGATAGTTTCCTGGTTACCAGACTTGTCACCATGGCAGCTGCTCCTTTAATTTCAGAGCATGGGAATGTATTACCACCTCTTAAAACCTCTTTGACTGTTCAGATGGTGGGTTAGAGCTTCCTATTGTACTGTGCAATTCATTTGACACTTGAGCCTAATACACTAACTCACCTTTCACATTCCGGGAAATAAAGCACACACAAGAATATTGTTTGGTTAAAAGTGAAAATGGGTCTTAAGGTATATAGAGAGAGAAAGTGTTTTAATCAGATTTAGTTCATATAGAAAGATCATAAAGAAAACATAAGAGGGGGGTGTGAGCCTAAAATCTAAGCCTTTGACTTTGATCAAACACACCGTCTCTTGCAACTAAGAGTGATTTGGAGAATAGTGCAACATATTGGAGTACAATGACAATTAATACGTTGTGCACAAGCTGAAAACAATATAAACAAATGAAAGACTCTTTCCTGATATGATGAAAATGTTGAGTTCTGTCATTATACATCTACATGAAGTTTCTATGGGGACACTTGAACCCTTTGAAGGTTTGTCACGGTAACTGTGTGGGCTGTTCCACTCGGGAGCTGGTCACCAAAAAACTAAATGGACAGAAAACAGAATAAATTACAGAAGTTATATTTCATTCCTTTCATTAATTATGTTGAGTGAGGAGCCTTCACATAAAAGCTATACGTCAAATCGTGTTTTACATACCTGTTTAACAAGTGCAATAATGGTTCCATTGCTGACATCCCCAAAGGTAGTTAATCTCATCTGTAGGTGTGCCAGTGATAAACCTGATGGGATTAAATCACATAATATGGAAATAAATGTTTTAATCATTCATGTGTCAACATGAAGTTGAAAGAGAAGGGGAAAATACAAAATTGGAGTCAAGTACCCTGTGATGGTGGTTCTTCTGGAGTCGATATCAGGGTCGTTGAAGGGGTTAGAGTTGTTGGGGCTGCAGTTGTTGAGACTTCAGTTGTGGTGGTTGCAGTTGTGGAGACTGAAGTTGTGGAGGCTGCACTTGTAGGAGCTGAAGTTGTGGAGGCTGCAGTTGTAGTTGTTACAGTTGAGGGGGCTACAGTTGTGGGGGTTGCAGTTGTGAAGGCTGCAGTCGTAGGCTCTCGAGTTGTGGAGGGTGCAGTTGCAGTTGTAACATTAGTGGGAGTTATGGGGGTTGCAGTTGTAGGAGCTGCAGTTGTTGCGACTTCAGTTGTGGTGGTTGCAGTTGTGGAGGCTGGAGTTGTGGAGGCTGTAGTCATAGGTTCTGCCGTTGTGGAGGCTGCAGTTGTAGTTATTACAGTTGTGGAGGCTGCAGTCGTGGGCTCTCCAGTTGTGGAGGGTGCAGTTGCAGTTGTAACATTAGTAGGAGTTATGGGGGTTGCAGTTTGTAGGAGCTGCAGTTGTTGCGAATTCAGTTGTGGTGGTTGCAGTTGTGGAGGCTGGAGTTGTGGAGGCTGTAGTCGTAGGTTCTGCAGTTGTGGAGGCTGCAGTTGTAGTTATTACCGTTGTGGGGGCTGCAGTAGTATGAAATGCAGTTGTTGTTGATGCAGTCGTGGGGTCCACAGTTGTAGGGAACCCAGTTGTAGCAGCTACAGTGGTAGGGCCTGCCGTTGTTGTAGCTGCAGTTGTATGGGCCGCGGTTGTGGGGGCTTCTGTTGAAGCGGTTTGAGTTGTTGGGGCTGCAGTTGTTGCGACTTCAGTTGTGGTGGTTGCAGTTGTAGAAGCTGCAGTCGTAGGAGTTGCAGTTGTGGACGATGCAGTTGTGGAGGCTGCGCTCGTAGGAGCTGAAGTTGTGGAGGCTGCACTCGTAGGAGCTGAAGTTGTGGAGGCTGCAGTTGCAGTTGTTACAGTTGTGGGGGCTACAGTTGTGGGGGTTGCAGTTGTTGCGACTTCAGTTGTGGTGGTTGCAGTTGTGGAGGCTGCAGTCGTAGGCTCTCGAGTTGTGGAGGGTGCAATTGTACTTGTTACAATAGTGGGGGCTACAGTTGTGGGGGTTGCAGTTGTAGGAGCTGCAGTTGTTGCGACTTCAGTTGTGGTTGTTGCAGTTATGGAGACTGGAGTTGCTGCAGTCGTGGGCTCTCCAGTTGTGGAGGGTGCAGTTGCAGTTGTAACAGTAGTAGGGGCTGAAGTTGTGGAGGCTGCACTCGTAGGAGCTGAAGTTGTGGAGGCTGCAGTTGCAGTTGTTACAGTTGTGGGGGCTACAGTTCTAGGCTCTCGAGTTGTGGAGGGTGCAGTTGTACTTGTTACAACAGTGGGGGCTACAGTGGGGGCTACAGTTGTGGCGGTTGCAGTTGTAGGAGCTGCAGTTGTTGCGACTTCAGTTGTGGTGGTTGCAGTTGTGGAGGCTGGAGTTGTGGAGGCTGTAGTCGTAGGTTCTCCAGTTGTGGAGGCTGCAGTTGTAGTTATTACCGTTGTGGGGGCTGCAGTAGTATGAAATGCAGTTGTTGTAGATGCAGTCGTGGGGTCCACAGTTGTAGGGAACCCAGTTGTAGCAGCTACAGTGGTAGGGCCTGCCGTTGTTGTAGCTGCAGTTGTATTGGCCGCGGTTGTGGGGGCTTCTGTTGAAGTGGTTTGAGTTGTTGGGGCTGCAGTTGTTGCGACTTCAGTAGTGGTGGTTGTAGTTGTAGAAGCTGTAGTCGTATGAGTTTCAGTTGTGGAGGCTGCAGTTGTGGAGGCTGCGCTCGTAAGAGGTGAAGTTGTGGAGGCTGCACTCGTAGGAGCTGAAGTTGTGGAGGCTGCAGTTGTAGTTGTTACAGTTGTGGGGGCTACAGTTGTGGGGGCTACAGTTGTGGGGGTTGCAGTTGTTGCGACTTCAGTTGTGGTGGTTGTAGTTGTGGAGGCTGCAGTCGTAGGCTCTCGAGTTGTGGAGGCTGCAGTTGTAGTTGTTACAGTTGTGGGGGCTACAGTTGTGGGGGTTGCAGTTGTTGCGACTTCAGTTGTGGTGGTTGCAGTTGTGGAGGCTGCAGTCGTAGGCTCTCGAGTTGTGGAGGGTGCAGTTGTGCTTGTTACAATAGTGGGGGCTACAGTTGTGGGGGTTGCAGTTGTAGGAGCTGCAGTTGTTGCGACTTCAGTTGTGGTTGTTGCAGTTGTGGAGACTGGAGTTGCTGCAGTCGTGGGCTCTCCAGTTGTGGAGGCTGCAGTTGTAGTTGTTACAGTTGTGGGGGCTACAGTTGTGGGGGTTGCAGTTGTTGCGACTTCAGTTGTGGTGGTTGCAGTTGTGGAGGCTGCAGTCGTAGGCTCTCGAGTTGTGGAGGGTGCAGTTGTACTTGTTACAATAGTGGGGGCTACAGTTGTGGGGGTTGCAGTTGTAGGAGCTGCAGTTGTTGCGACTTCAGTTGTGGTTGTTGCAGTTGTGGAAACTGGAGTTGCTGCAGTCGTGGGCTGTCCAGTTGTGGAGGCTGCAGTTGTAGTTGTTACAGTTGTGGGGGCTAGAGTTGTGGGGGTTGCACTTGTAGGAGCTGCAGTTGTTGTTACTTCAGTTGTGGTGGTTGCAGTTGTGGAGGCTGGAGTTGTGGCGGCTGCAGTCATAGGCTCTCCAGTTGTGGAGGGTGCTGTTGCAGTTGTTACAGTTGTGGGGGCTACAGTTGTGGGGGTTGTAGTTGTAGGAGCTGCAGTTGTTGCGACTTCAGTTGTGGTGGTTGCAGTTGTGGAGGCTGGAGTTGTGGAGGCTGTAGTCGTAGGTTCTCCAGTTGTGGAGGCTGCAGTTGTAGTTATTACCGTTGTGGGGGCTGCAGTAGTATGAAATGCAGTTGTTGTAGATGCAGTCGTGGGGTCCACAGTTGTAGGGAACCTAGTTGTAGCAGCTACAGTGGTAGGGCCTGCCGTTGTTGTAGCTGCAGTTGTATGGGCCACGGTTGTGGGGGCTTCTGTTGAAGCGGTTTGAGTTGTTGGGGCTGCAGTTGTTGCGACTTCAGTTGTGGTGGTTGCAGTTGTAGAAGCTGCAGTCGTATGAGTTGCAGTTGTGGAGGCTGCAGTTGTGGAGGCTGCGCTCATAGGAGCTGCAGTTGTGGAGGCTGCACTCGTAGGAGCGGAAGTTGTGGAGGCTGCAGTTGTAGTTGTTACAGTTTTGGGGGCTACAGGTGTGGGGGTTGCAGTTGTTGCGACTTCAGTTGTGGTGGTTGCAGTTGTGGAGGCTGCATTCGTATGCTCTTGAGTTGTGGAGGGTGCAGTTGTACTTGTTACAATAGTGGGGGCTACAGTTGTGGGGGTTGCAGTTGTGGGGGTTGCAGTTGAAGGAGCTGCAGTTGTAGGAGCTGCAGTTGTTGCGACTTCAGTTGTGGTTGTTGCAGTTGTGGAGACTGGAGTTGCTGCAGTCGTGGGCTCTCCAGTTGTGGAGGGTGCAGTTGCAGTTGTAACAGTAGTGGGGGCTAGAGTTGTGGGGGTTGCACTTGTAGGAGCTGCAGTTGTTGCGACTTCAGTTGTGGAGGCTGGAGTTGTGGAGGCTGCAGTCATAGGCTCTCCAGTTGTGGAGGGTGCAGTTGTAGCTGTTACAGTTGTGGGGGCTACAGTTGTGGGAGTTGCAGTTGTTGCAGCTACAGTGGCAGTTGCTGCCGTTGTTATAGCTGCAGTTGTATGGGCCGCGGTTGTGGAGGCTGCAGTCGTAGGCTCTCGAGTTGTGGACGGTGCAGTTATACTTGTTACAATAGTGGGGGCTACAGTTGTGGGGGTTGCAGTTGTAGGAGCTGCAGTTGTTGCGACTTCAGTTGTGGTTGTTGCAGTTGTGGAAACTGGAGTTGCTGCAGTCGTGGGCTGTCCAGTTGTGGAGGGCTGCAGTTGTAGTTGTTACAGTTGTGGGGGCTAGAGTTGTGGGGGTTGCACTTGTAGGAGCTGCAGTTGTTGTTACTTCAGTTGTGGTGGTTGCAGTTGTGGAGGCTGGAGTTGTGGCGGCTGCAGTCATAGGCTCTCCAGTTGTGGAGGGTGCTGTTGCAGTTGTTACAGTTGTGGGGGCTACAGTTGTGGGGGTTGCAGTTGTAGGAGCTGCAGTTGTTGCGACTTCAGTTGTGGTGGTTGCAGTTGTGGAGGCTGAAGTTGTGGAGGCTGTAGTCGTAGGTTCTCCAGTTGTGGAGGCTGCAGTTGTAGTTATTACCGTTGTGGGGGCTGCAGTAGTATGAAATGCAGTTGTTGTTGATGCAGTCGTGGGGTCCACAGTTGTAGGGAACCCAGTTGTAGCAGCTACAGTGGTAGGGCCTGCCGTTGTTGTAGCTGCAGTTGTATGGGCCGCGGTTGTGGGGGCTTCTGTTGAAGCGGTTTGAGTTGTTGGGGCTGCAGTTGTTGCGACTTCAGTTGTGGTGGTTGCAGTTGTAGAAGCTGCAGTCTTAGGAGTTGCAGTTGTGGAGGCTGCAGTTGTGGAGGCTGCGCTCATAGGAGCTGCAGTTGTGGAGGCTGCAGTTGTGGAGGCTGCGCTCATAGGAGCTGCAGTTGTGGAGGCTGCACTCGTAGGAGCGGAAGTTGTGGAGGCTGCAGTTGTAGTTGTTACAGTTTTGGGGGCTACAGGTGTGGGGGTTGCAGTTGTTGCGACTTCAGTTGTGGTGGTTGCAGTTTTGGAGGCTGCAGTCGTATGCTCTTGAGTTGTGGAGGGTGCAGTTGTACTTGTTACAATAGTGGGGGCTACAGTTGTGGGGGTTGCAGTTGTGGGGGTTGCAGTTGTAGGAGCTGCAGTTGTTGCGACTTTAGTTGTGGTGGTTGCAGTTGTGGAGGCTGGAGTTGCTGCAGTCGTGGGCTCTCCAGTTGTGGAGGGTGCAGTTGCCGTTGTAACAGTAGTGGGGGCTAGAGTTGTGGGGGTTGCACTTGTAGGAGCTGCAGTTGTTGCGACTTCAGTTGTGGTGGTTGCAGTTGTGGAGGCTGGAGTTGTGGAGGCTGCAGTCATAGACTCTCCAGTTGTGGAGGGTGCAGTTGTAGCTGTTACAGTTGTGGGGGCTACAGTTGTGGGAGTTGCAGTTGTTGCAGCTACAGTGGCAGTTGCTGCCGTTGTTATAGCTGCAGTTGTATGGGCCGCGGTTGTGGGGGCTTCTGTTGAAGCGGTTTGAGTTGTTGGGGCTGAAGTTGTTGCGACTTCAGTTGTAGTGGTTGCAGTTGTAGAAGCTGCAGTCGTAGGAGTTGCAATTGTGGAGGCTGCAGTTGTTGAGACTGTAGTTATGGGGGTTGCAGTTGTTGCGACTTCAGTTGTAGTGGTTACAGTTGTAGGGGCTATCGTTGTGGGAGCTACAGCTGTGGGTGCTACAGTTGTGAGGGTTGGAGTTGTTACGACTTCAGTTATTGTGGTTCCAATTGTAGTAGGTGGAGTTGTGGGGGCTGCAATTGTGCGAGCTGCAGTTATATGGCCTTCAGTTGTAGGGGTTGGAGATGTGGGGCCCGCAGTTGTGGAGGCTAAACTGGTAATACCCTCAGTTGTATGAGCTGCAGCTGTGGCTGCTACAGTTGTAGGAGCAGCAGTTGTGGGGGCTACAGTCATGGGGGCAGCTGTAGGAGCTTCACTCGTATGACCTGCAGTTGTATGAGTTGCAGTTGTTGGCGTTGTAGTTGTTGGAGATGCAGTGTTGGTTCCTGTTACTGGAGAGGTAGGGGCTGCAGTTGTGGCTGTTGAAATGAGGGATGTGGTAGTTGAAACTGGATTGTTGGGGCTTGTAGTTGTCGTGGTTGAAATTGTAGTTGAGGTGGCAGCAGGTGTAGTGGTTGAAACTGGAGTTGTGGTGGTTACACTTGAAAATGGAGTTGGGCTGGTGGCACTTGTTGTAGATGAACCTGTAGTTGTAGTTGCAGCCATTGTGATAATATAGAATACTTTTAGAAAATATATCATATCTATAACCATCTATAACATCTCTCTTTATCCTTAAAGGTCCCATGTCATGGCCATTTCTACTGATCATAATTCCATTGTTGAGGTCTACTAGAATAGATTTACATTGTTCAATGCTCCAAAATCACATTGGTTTTCTCATACAGCATCTCTATATAGTTTTTTTTTTTTTTTTATAGTTTTTTTTTTTCAGTTATAAAATAAACAGACATTGCTCCAGATAACAGAACATACAACAAAACATGTAACAACAAACAACTAAACAAAACGTAATGGGGGGGGGGGATGCAAGGAGGACTTCCTAAGACAGCTGATTGTGGACAGGACATTACCAACACAATACATTATACATTACACAGGAGATGCCATATTGACAGGGTCAGATAGGAGAGCTGCGGACAGTGAACCGCAATCCTCCTGTCTCCCCTCAAAATCCCCCAGCAGAGAAGCTGCACGCTCCATATTCAGTAGGTCCAGATACTCCCTCAGCCATGAGTCCCTAGTAAAGCAGGCTGGTTTGCGTTCCTTCCAGTTTAGTAGGATGAGTCTTTTTGTGGCTAAACAGCCCAATGTCCAGAGCCGATCGGCAGTCCTTGCAACATTGCCATCTGGCTTGAGACCCAGTAGACATGCAATGGGACATGTAGGGAAATGAACTTTTAAAGATTCAGACATTAATGATATTACTTCTGACCAAAGTTTTTTTACCGCTGGGCATTCCCAGAGCAGGTGCAACAATGTACCTCGCTTGCCACATTCATGCCAGCATAAGTCTCTGTGTTTATTGTCCATCTTGGATTTTGTAACAGGGGTGATGTATGCTCTATTGAGAATTTTGAACTGTATGATCCTGAATCTTACACATTTAGAAGAGAACATAGCTGACCTCCAAATAGAGTTCCATTGCAAAGCAGACAGAGAGATATTCAAGGCATGCTCCCAGGACAGTTGGACAGAAGAATAGGTATTCGGGGCAGCCCTAGATAATAATTTATAAATGTTAGAGACCACACCGGATTATATGATTGCTTTCTTGAGGCGCTGGTCCTCTTCCATACATGAAGCAGGCATGGCTCCCTCCTTACATTTTGTACTAATAATAGATGCTAGTTGTGCATTGTAGAGTTATATTTGTATTTATTCATGTTAGCAAACTATGGATAAGCTTAAAATGAGAATAATTTGGGTAAAACTGTGAGCTGCATTTGGGGCCTTTTGACATGTGTTTTTGAGGACAAAGGAAGATGTGGGGGAGGTGTAGGTATGCAGGCCTTGAGACTTTTGGTTGTAAGGTGAGCCTGTTTGGTTTCCTGCTGGCCAGCGTTGCGTCTCCCAATGAGATGACCTGAAAAGATGACCAGCTGACCTAACACCAAACCCCTCCTTCTTACTCTGGTATATATCCGGTGGATCCCTGGCGTTCGGTCTCTCTTCACATGCTGCCTCGAGCGAAAGGATGTCCGCAGCACGCGAACCAGGGCAGGAGTAAGCCGGCATTACTCCTTAAGCATTACAATATAACTGTAATATATCATGTTGTATTGTAATGATTGTATTGCATTGTCATATTGCCATTAAAGTAGATTATTGTTAACGGTTACTTTGTAGATATGGATTCCTTCCTGTATTATAACCAGCTTCATAGGAACGCGCGGAGATTTGAAAAGCGGACCAGTTATCCCTCCAAATCTCCAACAAAATGGTGACCCGACGTCTAGATATAACGAAGCTGGGGAAGAATTCAGACGCTTTCAAACATCTCAGACAATCAGCAGGATTCTGCAACTCTGCAAATAAGGTAAGCAGACGATGAAAATCGCCTGTCTGTAATTGGATACGCTAAAACTTTAGGATTGTCTGTAGGCGTTTCACAGTGTTTTTAAAGTTTAAATGGAATATACAATGCATATTTTACTATGTTAGGAAAGTTATATACAAAACGTAAACGTTGATCGACAGGTAGACGAAAGTCCTGCGTGACGTAAAATAGAGCAGTTTGGCGTGGATCTACAGGTAGTTTATTCCTGAGTGGCGTGGAGATGGTGCAGTTTGTTTGGATGCGAGGTTTGATTCCTGCACGACAAAACCTGGAAACTCGATATATCAGATCGAGTCGCCGTTTAAAAACTGGGGTTTAAATAACAGATCAATGCTGAAAGCTTAAAGCCAGAGGTCTGTTATATATTAAATCGAGGGAGAGCGTTTCCCTTTGTCTGTAAACTTCTGCTGCTGCCATCTAGTGGCTGAAAGGGGGTATCACACCCTTGAAACTTCTGCTGCTGCCATCTAGTGGCTGAAAGGGGGTATCACACCCTTGAAACTTCTGCTGCTGCCATCTAGTGGCTGAAAGGGGGTATCACACCCTTGAAACTTCTGCGAGCTTAGAGTTTAGTCATTACATTGCTGGACAACGACAGCACCAGGAGATGAGTAAACTCAAGAATCTGTAGAGTGTAAATACATTGTGCAAAACACATTTTACACTCGAACTGTTTGCAAATTTAGACAATATAAATAAATGTTCAGAAAGAAGACATAGGCCTACACTTGATTCAAATTTCATTACTGTGATCCGATTGGTGTGCTCTGCAGGTTTACTATTGTTCGAAGTAACAGTGGGATTTAAAATGAGAGAAGATATGGAGATGTTCTTTCATAGTGTGTGGAATATGTGATGCTGGAAACATGTAAGTATTTCAGAGTTGTGTTGGGTAAATATGTAGCAATGGATGAAACAATTTTTGGAGTGAGTTTTTGTAATATCATTAGTAGACATTAATTATGTTGTTTAGATGGCATTTAACAACTAAGACAGATAGTATGATTAGATAGAGACAGAGTGGAAAGGGTTGGATTTATTTAACATCAGTGGGCTAGACTTCTTATAGGTAATGTGTACCGAGACCTGGACTCCCCCTCTGAGTTAGAAAGGCTTTGATCCCGACCCTCCAAGCAGACAACGAGACCTAACCCAACAGGAGACTCCTCCTTCTCCATCGTACAGACAGAGAACCAGAGCTGAACCAACAACGACCTGAGGCATCCAGAACCAAACCAGCATGCTGACAAAGAGGCAAACTCTCATCGGTCCCTCAAACAGGACATGAAGTTCCAAACTGCGCCGCGAGATTTGGCACAATAGACATGAGAGCAGAATCCGCCCTCCATAAAAACAGCAGAGAGACTGTAAAGGAGGAGTGCAACAACAGTGGCATGATGGGGCTGTAGATGTAACTGGGCCAATGGCTGCCTAAAAAAGTTACAGTGGATGGATTCAACAGCTGATGGACTGAAGAGAAGACAGAATCAGAGGAGTTGGCATGGTCGATTAGAAGTGAGGAGGCCGGGGTCACGGCTTGAGAAAACCAGGGGAGCAGGAAAGGAGAACGGGAATGAGTGAGTTACACATAAACACACTTATTCACAAAACGCACATTTAAATAACTTGAATTAACTTCATAAATACGTAAAGACAGAAAGATGTATTAATCATTTGGTAAATTAAAAATAGCAGTAAAGAGGAAACTATTAAAGTGAAATGATAATCATCCTAAAACACACTGACAGAGTAGAACCATATTCTTCAATATTTTCATCATGTTAACAAATCATTCTTTAAGACATTTTTATTCACGTGTGAATAAAGTAGTGATCTCATTGGTTACAATATTGATCACCATTAAAAGGATAGTTTTAGGAACCACTCTATAAGACAAATCTTTATTTGTATTAATAATGTTAAAGAGGGAGCTGGTGCCAAGTCACATATTAAATTCCAATCTAAAGTGTTGATTTCACCATTGTGGCATAGTTATTACCATAGGACTTCGGTTTTAAATCCTTGATAAAGGAGGGGAGTAATTGTTGCATGTTCGGACACCCAAGGTTCCACACACTGCTAAAAGACTTTAACATTGTTTTTTAAGTAGACCAGAATTATAATGAGCTATGAAATGCAGAGCGACACAGATCCTAGTAATGTTTTGACTCAAAATAATAGTTATGTACACAAGTTTCTGAAATAGATCATTAGACATTTTAATACTAATTAGGTGTAATTGGATTGCAGTAGTAGTGGTACTCGAAGGAAGTGAGTTTTGTACCAAGTTTCAGGAAAAGTGGGAGGCAGAAGTCCCAATGACAAGTGAGAATCATCTTGAAAATCATAGTTGAAATCGTGACATATTTTTGTAGACAAAGGATACTGGCCTATGCTGAAATGTCAAAGTCTCTGCAGAGCACGACACATGGCCAAAAAAGACGGAGACCAACTGACCTTTGACCCTGACCGACAGTGTAACTTGACAAGGCACTGTGGATGACTGACTCTGGGGTGAACCTGACCAAACTTGACATGACAACCAGACAGTGTGAGTGTGAATGTATGCCGGCATGTGATCAGTGTAACTGCATGATTCTAAAACAATAACTAACCAAGCATGTTTTTGGACTAACATATTATTTTGGAGCTCCAAGGGAAACGAGAGGTTTCCTAAAAATTCCACAAAAAGGGGAAACCGCACATGTGACCCGGTTATATTTTACTCTCACATGAGTTGGCGGTTTGCAAATTTAAAACTAAAATCTGAAGATTCTGTTTCTTTTAGGCCTAAAGGACGGAGAGGAACACTTCTTTCACTGAAGTGTTTACTGTGGAAATAATGATAATGATGTCAAATTGAAAATAATGTTCGTTATGTCCCTAACCAATTACCTGACAGTTTTTGTTCCCCTCCCATTACAGGCTTTTGTTACACATGATTTCATGTGTAAAAGGGGGGAGTGAGTATAATGTATAAATGTCAACATGGCTGTAAAATTCACAAGTTACATTTTTCTTTAAGGATTGACGGAAACCTTCCGCCCCAACCCAGATGTTCAAACTGAGCATTGAATGTAATTAACCTGCTCCATATCGAGGGGTAAGATACTGTTTGATGAA